TGAGACATGAGGGCATGGGCAGAGTCAATTAGGAGAAAACAATTCCTCCCTATGAGTCGGGGTCACTGCATGACCCCATCACGGGACACTGTCGTGCCACATGCGTTTCGCTAAGGTGTTTAAATTACTGACTGAAAATTTCTACTTTTAGTGCTTGGAGTAGAGAAAAACAGGAATGATTGACGCAAATTTGAGTAAAGTATGTGCATCATCATCACACTAATCGAGGCTAATTGTTCAAACCTGTTCAATTCCCACTAAAAAACCGTGAAAAGCAATTTTCCTTCAATAGTTCTATTCTTTAGGAACGGAGACAATCCTTATTGAGTACTACTAAGCGGTACAACTCCAAATGGTATAAACCACTGGGAAACACACGCCATATGTATGTGCGGCGTGACACTCAAACAGCTGTGATGAGGGACGTGGGAGCTAATAATTAGTACCACCACTTCAATCAGAGAGAGGGTCAAAATGAGGAACAAAATAGGCACTTACTTGGGTAACGAGGCAACCCTATTGTCCAGTTGATCTATTTCAGAGGCAAAAGTAGGAACAGGACGTCATTTCCAACATCCCAAGTGGTGGATGTGTCTCTGGGTTCTGCAACTAGAATGGTCGCATCTCAACGCTAAACATTTTTAATGAAAGCCGCGACTTTTATAAAGAGTTCCAAACCCTCTAAATGTGACACTTTGGCACTTGCAGAGTTCTAATTCCGTGGGACAAACAATACTCTGTGAATCGTTGCCAAGAAAATGAAGCAGACAAATTCTCGCCAAACGTGGACTGATCGCAAGTTGTTTAGCTTTAACCTGTTCGAATATTTCTTTAATGTGTGCACATATTAAAATATGTCATAATTCTGAGTAAAATAAATTAGAGATGAGTACGAGGACCTCGTTGCAATGTCAGGTTGACAAGTACAAACACACACTCATGAGTACAATCAAGCGGCGTTTGATAGATGCCGGAGTTGAAATTTGACAATGTCACAGTTATGTGGTAAGCGTCATTCCGTGCTCTTACAAATATTGAAACAGCGCAATTGTATGCAAGATTTACGTTTGATTAAATATACTAGATTAAATGCCAGAATTAAGTTCGGATACCCCAAGTACTGGGTTAACTGAGATTGGAACAGAATCTTGAAGACAAATTTTGCTTACACAAGTTATCTTTTTTTAAGGTTTCCTTTTATTCAATGTTGCAAAGTTTTGCTTCCAGAAATTCACGGAATACGTAAAGCTGTAAGATATGTAAGTAGATTATGTTTTCCGTGAGATAGTGAAAAGAGGTACTTTTTAATTTTAGACTCGGTTTAGTCGATTTCGATTGGTTGAACCACCCAACATGATATCAATCTTAACTTGTGCAGGTAATAGGATTTAACCATGCATATATCTCTTTAGTTAATTCCGGATTTCTATTTTATCCTCTAAAAACCAGATTAGAAACGCTACTTGATTAATAATAGTAGGCACCAATTTTAGGAGATGGAAAAATGCCCTCATGTAAAGAATCACAATCCATCACAAATTATCCTTCAATGACGCAGCAGCCAACAGTTTACGGAAACTCGAATCCCCACAACAAAAAGATCAAGCTAGCGAAACGTTATGCATTCAGGAGTTAAGAAACCAAAGAATCAACCGCAACCTGCTGTTCAACGTCTCCGACTGGACAAATTCAAGAACGTGTATTCGTGCAATTGACAAATAAACGAAGAAATGCAGAAGATTAAAAGAGCTATCAAGCATATTGACTAAAGGAATGAACAAACGCAACATGAAAAGCCAAAATTGTTTTGCTTCTACTTTGCTTCAAGGTGGTGCAGGCTGCCATACAAATTGCCATACGGTTAGGCGGATAAACGTGGATTTTCGGGTGGATGCAAAAGAAGTAAGAGTGGCAGAAGACAGTTAGCTATGACTAGGAAGGAAGAGTGATTATGGAAGCTTATGGGTCAACAGGCTTGGCGGCAGCAGAAATGAATGCTGGACGTTGTTTGTTGACACGTAGGATGTGTAAAGGGAATATCAAGCTTGTGTTATTTTTTGACGTCATAATTTTCCCGACCGCATACGACAAAGGCATTTTACGTACCCATTTTAACAACTCGATTCCACAATCTACTGGTGGTCGATTATTCAACACTGATGGATCATTTGTTTGTTAATGTGGCGGTGTAAACAATGCCGCTCGATGTATTCTTCAGCTAGACCTAAGACGTCGAGGTATCTTCGAGGCCCTGGGTTAATAAAAACAAGCAAGTTAAAGGATACAAGGAG